AAAATACAGTAACATCTAGCAAGGAATCTGTGTTTGGTTCTCTCTGTCATTAGCCATGTTCCTTGAAGGTGACCTGCACTCTCTACTACAGGCTTACAACTCAGAGTAACCTTCAACTCTGACTTCCCTAAGTTAGCTCAAGTTCAAGTTCAGGTCCATGGGAAGGCAGACATGAATGAGCTCACTGCAGAGCTCAGGACTTGTTCCATGAGAGAGAAGCCCTTATCCTCTTGAGAAAAAGAGGGTTCTAGAAAAAGGTGCCACTTTGGGATTTTATTTGGGGGGGGGGCAGTGAAGAAAACAGAAAAGGGCCGATTTGTGAAACAAATATTTGAGTCTTCTCAGTTGCACTATACAATAGGCCCCAACAGAGAGTCCTCAAACAATTCTGCTGGCAGTTGGGGTGGCCCCTCTAGCCCCCCTTTTTCCTTTTAAGAAAATGTAAAGCTTGGGGGGGGGCCGCGGCGGCGCGAGGGGGGGGTGTCTAGCTAAGTACTTGGCTTGGGTGGGAGTGTGTTAGTGTCAGGCTGTCTCCTGGGTCTCCAGGACCCAACAATTGCACAATTGGATCTCTCTATCTTCCCCTCCTGCATTGTTCCGGTCCAGACCCCCAGCAGCTAGCTCATGGCCAGTTGGTGAGGCTTAGCTTCCCAGAACTCTTGGCCCTGGGAAAAGGGAGAAAAGGCATGAGAATCTCTTCCGAATGGCACTTGGGGATTTTATAAGACCCTTTCCCATCCCCTCCTCCCACTTTTCTGTGTCTCTCCAACTAGGCCTTTGCCTCTCGGGCACACCCCCACCCCCAACAGACACACACACACACACACTAAATGGAACCCCAGGGCCGCTTTCACAGGCTACGTCTGTTTCATTTCCTTCGGATCCGGATGTTGCGCGTCCACATCTCACTGAGCCGAGCTCTTGCCCGCCCCCCCTCACCCCCGCCCCCCCGCAGCCCTTCCCTCCGCTCCACCCCGGAATTGGGGCCTCCCGGGCTTTCAGAGGCGTGCTACAGGTCCCTGGGGAAGGGACACCCCAGCCACGTCCCTAGGGCGGGGGCGGGGCAGGGACAGCTCGTTACAGCGCCTTCAGGATGGGCGGGGCACCCGGAGGGAATTGGGGTACTAGTGCCCAAGACCCAAAGCCAATGGCTTCCAGGAATACCCTTTCCGCCCCGTTTCCCAGATTCCTCTCCTTGAAACGCATTCCTGAGTTCTTTTTCCAGGCTCGGAGCGGCCTCCCCACTCCACCCCCGGCTCCCCTTCCCCCGGGAGAGGGACGCTTTATAGAGAAAGCTTTTAATTCTCTCTCGTTAAACCAGCCAAAGCGCCGGAGACAGAGCGCCGGGGCGAGGACGCGACGGAGGTGGGGCCGGGCTCCGAGCCCCTTCGCCCCGCGCCCCCACCCCTCCCCCAGGCCGGCGCGGGCTCCCCGAACCGGACACCGCCGCCCTGCTTTCTCTCCTGTCGTTTTCACATGCAATAAATCGAAGGCGAGAGAGGGGAGGGGGGTGGACAGGGGGTGGAGGAGAAAGTATTTTTGCAATTTCTGCCAGGAGCATTTTATTAGCTTCTCTCCCCCAGGCCGCAGCCAATCAGCGCTTGCCCGGCCCCTGCGTCCCCTGCGTCCCGACCGCCGGGCCCAGCGAATGCGGGCGCCGGGGGAGCTGGGAGCGATTTAAAACGCTTTGGTCCCTGCGCCTGGGTGGGGAGCGCGAGCTGAGTGTGCCTGCCACCCCCACTCCCCGCACCCCATGAGCCGACCCTCGGCTCCATGGAGCCTGGCAATTATGCCACCCTGGACCTGGCCAAGGATATGGAAGGCTTGCTGGGAACCGGAGGGGCTAGGCATCTAGCCCCCCACTACTCGCTAACTAGCCATCCAGCGGCGCCGACGCTGATGCCCGCTGCCAACTATGCCCCCGCGGAGCTGCCAGGTTCTGCTGAACCGCCGAAGCAGTGCCACCCATGCCCCGGGGTGCCCCAGGGGGCGTCCCCAGCCCCAGTGCCTTACGGCTACTTTGGAGGCGGGTACTACTCCTGCCGAGTGTCCCGGAGCTCTTTGAAGCCCAGTGCCCAGGCAGCCACCCTGGCCGCCTACCCCGCGGAGACGCCCGCGGCTCCTGGCGAGGAGTACCCCAGCCGTGCCACCGAGTTTGCCTTCTATCCGGGGTACCCTGGACCGTACCAGCCCATGGCCAGTTACCTGGATGTGTCGGTGGTGCCGACACTCGGTGCCTCTGGGGAGCCGCGCCACGACGCCCTGCTGCCTGTGGACAGCTACCAGCCCTGGCCCCTCGCTGGTGGCTGGAACAGCCAGATGTGTTGCCAGGGAGAACCGAACCCGCCCGGTCCCTTTTGGAAGGCGCCATTTGCAGGTAACCTTGCCCCGCTCTCCGGGACCTCCTGGTTCTGAACTTGGGTGGTGGGCCCAGCTGGTGCTGTCCTGGAAGACAAGGGAGCCTTTGACTGGGGAGAAGACTGGCCTCCTGTTGGCGATTAGCATGGTGAAGGAGGGGCAGGCAGCTGCAGGGCCTGGATGGAGACCCCCAGGGTCCGGGTGAGGGGCCTGAGCTGGGCGCTATCTAAAGTGTACAGGTCACCCGGCCTGCTCGCTTTCCCAGGAGACCCAGGGCTCAGGCTTTCAATCTGCTGGAGCCTTTAACTGTCTTCGCTGTTGGGTGGGGGCCAGGGAGTCCCTACCAAGCACGATCCTGGTCTAATTGTGGGAACGTGGAGAAAGGCTGGGGGAAAATGGAAGGGCATGTATAGGATGTCCTGTAGGATAAAGGACACAACCCTTCCTTTCTTTTTAGATGCATTTTACAATTTTTGAAGAAAAAAATTAGAGTTCCTGCACCCATGGCTTCGATGTATGGATTCGTGTGTGTGTGTGTGTGTGTGTGTGTGTGTGTGGGGTGTGGACTATATAAGTGGCCAATAGTCCGGACAGGGATGTGGCCCTGCTGGGGGTGGGTGTGTTTGCAGTGAGGGCAGAGATGACTGAGGGTGGCTTGAGGAGACCAGAGAACATGCAGGAAGCTGGGTGCCCTCGTGTGTTAGGGAGAGGAGGAGCGTCCCTGCAGTTCTGGAGGTTTGTGGGCCCTGGGCCCCTAGCAAGGGGCGGGGGTCTGAGCTATCTTTCTCTCTCTCTTCGTGCCACGCGCCTTGCGCAGACTCCAACTCACAGCACCCTCCGGATGGCTGCGCCTTCCGCCGGGGCCGCAAGAAGCGCATTCCCTACAGCAAAGGGCAGCTGCGAGAGCTGGAACGGGAGTACTCGGCTAACAAGTTCATCACCAAGGACAAGAGGCGCAAGATCTCCGCGGCTACCAGCCTCTCAGAGCGCCAGATCACCATCTGGTTTCAGAACCGCCGGGTCAAGGAGAAGAAGGTCCTCTCCAAGGTCAAGACCAGCGCTACCCCGTGAGGGAGCTCTCTGGCTGGGTGGGTGGGTGGTGGAGGAGTGCCGTGGGGAGACCAGGACCATAGCTGGTCAGGCTTGAGAGCCCTCCCCTCCACTGGGGACTGCCGAGGGATTCCCAGAGGCAACACACTTCCCATGCCACTGTTCCTCAGTGCCCCCCTGGTAGGCTGCTACTCAACAGAGAGTGAATTAGGCTGACAGGTACAGCCCGTTGTTGCTCGGGGCCACAGCAACCTGTCCCAATCATCATTCACCTGGACATTGGAGGTGATCACATTGACCTAGGTGCAGCTGCCCCAAAGACTAGCCTCACCACCTCTCTCCAGAGCTCCGTGGAGCACCTTTGAGCCCGGTTTCATGATTGAGCAGCTTGTGAATAAACTTGGTAGGAGACCCGTGGCCCAGCAGCTTCCTCTCAGAGGCCCTGCCAGTTCACAGAGCTGGGGGTCATACTTCCCTCCCCCCATAGCTGTGCCCACAGGACCCTAGGCTTAGGGAGCAGGAAAGATAGATGCCACTCTGCCACCACACAGCCCATAAGCAGCTGCCCTGCCCAGAGAGCAATGCAAGAGGGTCCTCCTCCCTCCGGAGTTCCCACACCACCGCCCAGGTTGCTCACCAGGGTCTCCCTCCCAGATGCCCTGAGCCCTAATTCTTAGAGTTCCACCTATGTGAGCATGCCTTCCTGATTTGTGAAGTCTGAGAAAGTCCCCGGATAGTCCTCCCACCCCCACCCTCACCCTGGGAACGGAGGGAGGAAAAAGTTCTCCAATGATTCCCTTAAAGTTCCTGGTTGATCTGCTCCAAGCAGATCAGGGACCCTTGGACATTTGGGAGCTGTTGAATGCAGGTACTTGTAGCCTTGGGGTTGCTTTTTTTGTGGGGGGGGGCCCTCTCATTGCTAAAGGTGGTCATGGAACCAGGTTCCATTAGGCTGCCTGCAGAGAGCATCTCAAACAGACTATTACCCTGCAGGAGAGGAAAACGGAAAACAAACAACTTGGCTCCTTCACCTTATTTCCCTGCCAGGAGCAAGTTTCAAGGTCTCAAGTCTGGGAGATGTTCTGGGTTTTCTGCAGGTGAAAGATCCAGGCTCAGCAAAGCTGTAGGCACCCCAGGAGGCTGAGGTGACTTTGGCAGCAGGCTTCACTGTTTCTGCAATTTCGCTGGCCCAGCCTCTGTGCGTTGAATTCCTGGTGGCTGGAAAACCCAGTGGCTGGCTCCGGCTATGCCTCAGGCCCCACACAGGCAGAGGCCCGCTGTTGCAGAAACCTGACACAGTCCTGGCTCCGCAGGGCCCAGAGCTTGAGAGAGACCAACCAGGAGGCCCTGTCTTCTGTGGTGGCTCCTTAGGAGTGATCCTGGTCTACTGGGCCACTCTGCAAAGCTACAGGTTTGCTTGGGTGGGGGTGGGGGGTTTCACATCCTGACTGGGAGGTTCGCCAGTTCGCTCCCTGCAATCGGGTTTGTGGACCTGGGTGAGAGGGTCTGTAGTGGGCCCCCCTACACCGCCACTGCCACCACCACCTTCACCCCCATTGAGAGCAGTGGGTAGACTGGGGAAGGGCCGTAGCTGGCCTCCAAGTTTTCCAGGAAAGCCAGAGGGTAACAGCCAGGGACTATGGTGTTTCCAGCACTGGTCCCTCCCCCGGGAAAAGGAGCTGAGAAGAGGCTCTGAGGCATCTAAACCTCTTTATCAAAGAGGCGCCCAGGGCCCAGGACAGAGGGAAGAGGCCATTGGCAGGCTGTGGCCCTACACCCCTGTGTCTCCCTAGGGTGCATGTGTTGGGGAGTCTGTTCCTTGGTGGTTTAAGAAACCCTTCCCAGCCTAGCTCCCACGTGGAGCCCCTCCCGTAAGGCGCCCTGCTCAGCTCAGGAGAGGTCACCCCTGCCCTCCATAGCCCCTTCAAATGGTACCCCATGCGGGCAGCATTCTAGGTCACCAGGGCTCTCCCCTCTGCTCCCAGAACTGCCTTCACTAAAGATAACCTGACTTTAGAAATGCGGTGGAGTGCAGCTCCAGCAAGCTTCCGTGAGAGGACCCGACACAAAAAAGGGAGAGCGTTCTGGTGAGTGTATGTTTGGGGTCTTCACAGGAAACAGGAAATCCTGAGGGGGTCCAGGACCCCAAACTCTGGAAAAAACCCCATGACTCTGACTTCTCCAGCCTTAAGGTTTCGGGGTCCCTCTATTTTTCGCTCGCAATAATTTTAAAACAATGCCATAAAAAAAAACAATACCAGAAAGTCGGGGTCGCAGAGATTTATTTCACTTAGGAAAGCGGGTTCGGACTATTAGAAAGACAAGGCCGCCCCCTGCCGGTGGAGGCCCCCCATTTCAGGGAACCTCGGTTTCAGGCTGATTTGAGCCTCGGAGTTCTTGGGCCTTTGAGCTTGGGGGCTCCGGGTCACGTGTGGGAGATGGCCAGGGCCCAGAGATGCCCGGAATTCAGTCGAGGGTCAGTAGATGTATTAGTCCAGCTGCTAAAAGACCAAAACAGACCAGCATGCGCCATCTGGAACCGAGGAAGAAGCGAGTGTCCGGGCTCCCGGAGCAAGGCCACGGCGCCGTCCATGCCTTCTTTGCACCCGAGTTTGCTATTTCTTAGCCTTGCCGGCGCAGATCTTCGTAGACACCCCTCAGTTCTTTCCCCCGTGATTGATGTATTTATATCACACCCGTGTGTGTGTGTGTGTGTGTGTGATGTCGTTTTGTAACAGACCCTTTTATAGCATTCCTTTCCAAACATCCATTTTATTCCAAAGAGAATTATGGCAGCTGCTAGCCACCATGCTTAAGCCACCCGTGTGTCTGAATTGTGGCAAAATCCCCGGGCTTGCCTTCACTGTCACAGCGACTGGCTTTTGGACCAGGGCTATTTTAAGGTGCACGGGAGTGTGTTTTGCAGAGAATTATTCAAACAGAAACAGGCAAACACAACGTTCTCCACTAGGTAAACACAAACAGTAAAGGGACATTCAATAAACCCAGAAGACACGGAGATACTCCGGAAAATACACAGGGCGCCTTGTCAACCAGGAAGCGAAGCTGCCCCCCCACCCCCACGTGCCCCTCCCTCTGAGCCAAACTCCACCAGTCAGTCCATGAAGCTTGTGCCGCCTTGAATACCTTAGGGGGCAGGGCTCCTCTGTTCTGTATGCAGGGTCGCTATGAATCCACTCCACAGGCAGTGGGTTTATCGGTCTTTGGAGGTTGAGTGCATAGACACGGCCCCGCCCCGCCCCACGCGCCAATCTTTATGCAGAATCTATGGTGCTGAAAGTGGCTTGGAGGGCCGTGAGTCGCGCTGGCCGTGAACGCTTCCAGAGGCCAGGGCGCCAAGACCCCGAGACCGAGAATCTGCCTTCTGTGTTCCCACCCATCCTCTGAGTCATCTCTCTGCCCATGCCGAAGCTGTCGCCGCAGCAGCAATGGGCCCAAGACCTAGCTGCCACCCCACCACACTAGGTCGGTGTCTGGCCTCCTTTCCCCGAGCTAGAAGCCCCAGTCTGCTCCCCAAAACTGGGGGTCCCGTTGTCTCCATCTCCCCTCCTCTCCTTCCTGAAAGTGTTCTTTCCCGTCCTAAGTGCGGGACTTTAATAAGTTTTCCCGTCCAGGAAACTCTGCGGGCTCGAACCCCTGTTCTGCGGACTAGAAACCCCAAGTTTCTAGAAACCCCGTGAGCGCAGCGGAGGTCAGGGCCACAGCCTTCTTGGTTTTGGAAGAAATGGATACCTCACGTCACCCACCTGGGAAGATCCTCTCTGGGAAAAAGGAGGGAGGGCGAATTGGGGAGCCCTGGCCCTACAGGGCTACCCCCACCTCCAGCCCCTGCCCCAGAGCTGGCCTCCTGGAAGAAGGGGAAAAAATTTCTTTTTTTTGGAAGAAGGAAATTTAAAGTATCCAATGGGGAACGTCGCCAGCCTGGCTTCCTCTCCCGCGGCCAGTTAGATCGGTCTAAGAATTGGGGGTAAGGAGGCGAAGCACCGTCCCATCAGGACTTCTCCCTCTCCTGAATGATCCCCCTCCGAAATGGGAAGGAGACAGCCAGATTTCGATGGCCCCCAAGATGGAGTGGGAAAGAGAGTGTCTGGGAGAAGGGTCAGGGATTTTGCCATTGAACTTGAAGCTCCGGGCTGGTGATCTCGGTCCCTCATTCCCGCCCACCCCTTTCTTCTAGGCTGTGCCTGGGAAGAGGGGTTTCTCCAGCCTCAGGGAGGAGGTAGGCGACCAAGGGGCGGGGAGGGAACCGGCGAGGGTGGCAGGAGGCGAGGAGGCCTCGGGCTGCGCAGAGCTAGAGAAGGTCCAGCCCTGCCCCACCAGTGGCTCCGCGGTAGGCGCTGCGGACTGGGTGCCCTACGGCTGCGCCCCGCCCTGGCCTCCGTTGGGAGGGGGCACGCTGCTCTCCCGCAAAGCACCCCCCAGACGAAGGGGCGCGGGCAGAGCCTGTTCCACGCGGAGGCTGGGAAGACCTGGTCCCCGCTCGCAACGCAGGCTCCCGGCCCGAGGCGTCGCGGCCTGGGCGGAGAGAACCCGGCTGGGCAGCTCCGAGGGAGCGCGGCGCCCGGGGCTCAAACCAGACGCCGCCGGAGTAACTGCCTCCAAGGGTGCGGTGCTCTGGACGGAGGTAAACGGGCCGATGGGCGGCCAGGGGGCCTGGTCCTCTCCGGACTCCTCGTGGAGGCTCTCCCTGCAGTTCCCGGGAGCTCTGTGCTCTGGGCGGTCAGGGAAGAGTGGCTGAGAGCGGCCGGCTCCGGTAGCGGCCACCGGGCTGGGCCGGGCTGGAGAAGCCAGCCATCGCCAGCTGGGCCGGAAGGGACAGGAAAGCGCTTCGCAGCAAGCGGGACTGGCGGGGCCTGGGCCTCGAGAGGCCGTGTGTGTGTGTGTGTGTGTGTACACGTAGTGTGGAAAGGGGGGAGGGGGTGGGTAGCTAATGCCGGAGGCTAGGCCCTCACTTCTGATCTTATATCTGTCTCCAATAGGGTGGAGTGTCAGAACAGGCA